TTAGAACTTCAATTATTTGTCTTCCATGATGTAACTTGGTGTTTGCTAACTTGTCATGTTGGATTGGGAGCCTTAGAATAACATAGCAGGTAAGTAGATAAATAGATGCCAAGTTCATGTTTTGGTCATTTTATAAATTTAATTTTTCACTATACAAAGACAACCTTAAGAGTAACGAATTGTGGAAGTTAGAAATGTATTCCACATTCTATTTTTAACCATAAAATGAAGTAATAAAACTGAGTCACTACAGATGTAAAACAGACTTTTGATTTTTTCTGAAATTAATAGAACTCTTTGAAGATACTCAAACAAAAATAATCAACATAATCTGAAAGTTTCAGGAATGATCAGGCTACACGCAGATTCCATTACTTGTGTCTTGTGTGCCTAGTCAATTAGACAGTTAAATGAATTAATGAGATGATAAATGTGTAACCACTTTACACATACTGAGCTCACACTTTTCAAAAGAGAGAAGAAAGTACGCTAATTCAAACACATTAGCCAACAATTCATGGCAAGTTACTTTTGAACTTTGCTGACGTATGCGTCTAACTCAGCATCCAATTCTTCAGCTGTTGGTACTGACTTTGGTGTCCGTGCACCACCTCGACCACCTCTGCCAGCACCACGGGCACCTGCAAGAGACAAAAAATAATTTAGAAAATGAAGATGACTCACAAAACTTAAGCCATATTGAAGTATTGAAAAGTTATCTACCTCCTCGGCCTCTGGTGTTCCTAAAGTTTCCACCACCAACTCTGTTTTGAGGTCGGTTCTGACCGAAGTTGGTATTTCCACCGCCACTTGTTCGTTGGGTGGTCCTTGGAGCAGCTGTTGTTACTTCATTTGTTGCCAAGGCAATATCCATTGGTCGTCCTAAACCCCAGATAACGTCAAAATAAGGCAAAGCAATTGTGATGCTGTAAAGTAAGCTGAGTTATAAAAAAATTAGTCACCATCCAAAGGAACTCCATTATATTGCTTCACTGCTTTGACTGCATCTGATCTTCTATCAAAGATAACATCAGCTGTACCCAATGACCTGCCCGATCTGTCGTAGTGAACAGCAGCTGATTTCAATGGGCCAAACTCAGCAAACAATTCCTGTGAGAAAATATATGGTTAAATAATGATCAATTTTTTTTAATAAGCACAAAGAAAAAATATATATCAAATTACCTTAATATCTGAGTCTGATACTCCATAGTCCAAATTTGAAACAAGAAGTTTAGTGGGTCCTCCAGAGCTCACTATACCACCAGTTCGTGATCCGATTTGGCGACCCCCAGCAAACATATCATGTTGCCACCTGCTGTTGACGTCTCCCTGAAAATAAATTATTTCAGAATTTAGACAACTGGAAATCTACTAAACAAAAAATAAAGTATAAATGTTGTGACGTTAATGGTTCAACTAGCTCCGAGTAGCTCCTACGCCAAATATAACGACCCACAACAGTGCGTTAAGAAAACAAATATAACTCAAATTCCAAACACATTCTTATTAGATATGACCAAGCATTCATCAGTGAATCCCATATAAAAACTGGGTCACAACTGCAACTGAATAGTATTTTAAGTAACTTTAAACAAAGTCAACTAAACTTGCTGACCACCACATAAAATACAAATTTACGTGTACATTTCAATCCCGTCCGCGCGAAATAAAACGGTATAGAAAAGCAACAATCAACAGAGAACATCATGAAACGCGTCTGGGAGGTGGAAAGGACCGAAAATCATGAAGATTTCACAAGACGATGGAGAGAAGGTAGGGATTAGAGTCCGGACCGGGTGAGTCACAAGGAATGGCGTGGGTTAGAGGTACCCCTGGGAAATGAATTTTACTCACTCTGGCGTATGATGGACTTCTGATGGGGGCAGCTGTGGGGCGTCTTCGCACGATTCCACCTTGTTGAACGCGACCTGTGGTTCTTTGAGAGGATCCACCGCGACGAGGAAAACTTGAGTTTGAGTTGTTTCTTTGGGTTGCACCGCCACCGCCGCGGCCTCTGCGGGGACCAGTTCCGCGGGCCGGCTTGTTTCTCTTGATGATTTCGTCGAGGCTCAAATCCATCTTTTCAGCCATTGTGAGTTAAGAAAACTAGAACACTAGCACATAAACTGAAAAAGCGACGGCGGTAATTAGCGGGTAGCACTTGGAGCTAAAACACCCGGCTAATGTTAGCAGTTACAATAATGGCTGCTGGGCGCGTTTCACTTGGCGTCGGATTGTTGTTCTTCTCTGTGATGGCGGTGGGATACTGTGTGTTGGCCAGCATTGCTCGGCACGGCTGCGCACTAATATCTTCTTTTTTTGTTCCAAAATTGAAGGGGAGTGTTTGTTTTTAAAGTACGCTCTATCTTAATCTCACGATTTCTGTAAAAAACATAACTCGCTTCAACCTCAAGAATC